ATTTTTCAAGATATGACCTCTTTAATAAAGGGAGGCTTCTGCTTTCCCCCAATAAATGATGGACTGCTTGAAAGATTACTTTGTTTTTATGAGTGGCATTTCATTTTAATTGGTTCATTATTTCCAGCAATTGCATCTTAAAATTCCCTTGATTGCTGCAGCTGTGGTTCATGCTGTGTCAAGATAGTTGATGTTGTGAACACACACACACACACACACACACACACTAACAGGCACATACTTCTATTTGCCAGATGGACACATTAAATCAGTGCTTGCTGGACCTGGCAGGATGTTATCAGAAGCCATCGACAGCTTCCACTGTGGGTGGATATTGCTATAAAATAAGTATAAAAGTGCTGATGTTATCGAATGATGGATTTTGGTCATAAGGATGTGATGATTTTCATTTCCTAATTGAGCATCCCTCAAATAGTGCTTTCAGACATATGTTCTATATTTGCAGTCACAGATTATGCCAGTTTCTTGCCAACTATTCCATTGTGTGGATGTAATGCATGTGTTAAATGATGCACATCAATCTTTTCAAAGATCTTAAAAACTATATTTGGAATTTTGGGACTTCACACTGGTAGCAATTCAGGTGACAGGGAAAAAAAAACATCTTCGTCTTTTATGGATAGAGTTATTGAGGAAGGTGCAAGTTATTGCCACATTCTCAGCAGCAATATGATGGTCGATTCAATGGAATGATAAATGACTCAAAATATTTTCAGGCTGAAAGTGTTTTTTTTTTCTTCTTCTTTCCTATACCACAGCCCTGACACTGAAAATGCTGGCACCGGTGCCTCAGAGATATTTTATCTAGGAAATCCTGAGGTTTGGAGAGAAAAAAATCCCTCTTTATCCAGCATGACAGGGCCTTGTTTGGTCTATCAGAGACAGAGACATGTGAAAATCAGTTCAAAGAAATCTTTTTGCTATTGATACCTGTACATTTTCCTTCAGTAAGGATTTGTCTGTTCTCGGTTTTGTGAATCCTAAACCTGACGAGTACTCTTCTTATCTGACAAGCCGGTCTGGGAGATCACCAGACTCAGAGGACTGGTTAGTCTAATCTTTGAGCATTTAGTTGCACTCTCAGCCCTCTAGGATATTAAAATGCACCATCTGTTTACTGAAACCTGCTCAGCATGGTTTACATGCAAGACCTTGTCAGTCAGATTTATGCTTGAGTGAATGGGCATGGCAGCATATGCTAGGCAGGAGAAAGACATACATATACGAGATGCATTTTCACATATCAAAAGGAATGGCTTTTTTTATTTATACCGTACTGGAATTGGCACAGATGAACAGAAATGATCAAAGCCAGAAATAATACATGGAATAATGAGTTTTTACTTTTTTCCCCAGTTTTTTTTTTCTTTACTGTTCTGAACTGTCCTTGATGAAACTTCACTTTTTAAATAAAATTTTCAGATGAGATGCCAACAGTACTTGGGCCACCAACTGTTATTTTACCCAGAAATTTGGCAAAAAGGTCTAAATTAATAATGAAGGTGCATCAGGCAGCGCAACGAGGAAATTAGCTAAATTTACGTATTCGGTGAAGGTCAAAATAGAGAAAAGCTGTAAAAATATACCTCAAACACATACATTCCTATTTGTATGGGATTCGATTTCTCAGGGCACCCATAAGTTAGCTGAAAAACAGTAGGTAATTTGCTCTGTAATTTTTACCAAGGTAGTGTGAGGAAAAACAAATTTACCTAACCTCCCCAGGGAAAACTAGCTGCACCCGAATCAGGCTTTAGCCAATCACCCATTGACATTACTATCCACACCAACTAAATGGACTTGAGGGCTGGAGAACACTTACACCCTATGCAACCGCCATGATGTTAAGCTTTGATCTCAAATCATTTCATTGTGTATTTAACAAGTGTTATACATCATAAGCCACATAAAATGGACTGTATGCTTAATAATTTGTGATGCACAGCAAAACAATGTCAGGAAATGTGTGGCACCTGTCCTCAAAAACTGTGAGGGACACAAAAGGAGTGTACTTGGAAAGATCAAGGGTTTAACCCTTCTTTGATTTTCCCACCTGTATATAAATAAATCTGAATCCAAATTCCCTGCTTGCCAAGATTATGTCACAATGTCTGATTCTTGGCACTCAGTTTAGCAATCATCAATTTTCCCCAAAGGGGACTTGACCGACATTTTATGCTTTATTGTCTCCTGATGGGGAAGTCGTGGCCTAATGGTTAGAGAGTCGGACTCATAACCCAAAGGTTGTGGGTTCGAGTCTTGTACCAGCAGGGATTGTAGGTGGGGGGAGTGTATGTACAGTGCTCTCTTCCACCTTCAATACCACGACTGAGGTGCCCTTGAGCAAGGCACCGAACCCCCAACTGCTCCCCGGGCGCCGCAGCATAAATGGCTGCCCACTGCTCCGGGTGTGTGTTCACTGTTCACTGCTGTGTGTGTGCGCACTTTGGATGGGTTAAATGCAGAGCACTAATTCCTAGTATGGGTCACCATACTTGGCCACATGTCACGTCACTCACTTTGATAACCCCCCCCCC